CAAGCATCCAAATCTCCTTCCTCTTTGACCTGGGCAAAAGCCTTCACGGCTGTAGTCATGCTTAGTGGTCTTTGAACAGTTAACAGAGGAGGGTCCCTAAAAGGGTTAGACTTATCACATATTGGGGCTGAGGGCTGCACCGGATATGCTTGAGAGACCACAGAAGGAGGCCAGGACAATCTCATTTCCTTTTCTTATAGTCATTATTCGGTCCACAAGACCCATACCTTCCTTCCTCCTCTGTAATTGGTCCCTGTCCCTGAAACGATAGAGTTCCCTCAGACACACTGTTATCCGATTCCGAATCAGATCTGTCTTTCCATGTATTTCTTCTTGTATCTTGCAAGATCTCTTGTTCTGGTTTAGTTCCTTTTTGAGACAGAAAATTACCCATAGTAATCCTGAGAAACAATCCCGCAGACCGGGTTTACCTATCTGCTCTCTCTTCTCAGGTCTGCTGAACACTGACTTAATTCCCTTTTCTGTAGTCTCCAAGACTCCCTTCGTTTTCAAGTTAGTCTCCAAGACTTATTTTCGTACCTTAGTCTCACACTCTAGTCTCAACTTTCATACCCAGGTCCCTGTTCATGGTGCGATGATGTGGGACTACTCATCCCTATCTCTCCATGGTGAACAGGTCCCGACGAGGAGCACGTGCCCATGGATCAATCAGAAAAGTAAAAAGAGACGAGAAGAACAAGAGAGGGAAAATCCTGGGGTCAGGCGGGCGTACGGCCTCTGGGAGTGCAGCCGAGAATACCAACTTCAGTCACCTTTCAATGGGGAGGAACTAAGGGTGCAGCCAGTAAATGGGCGGATACCAAGGGTTTTTTGTTTTTTTTTTTTTTTTTTTTTTCAGCAAGGATAATTAAAGGCTTACCCTTCTCAACATATAAGCCAACACACGCCTATAATCCCAGCACTCAGGAGGCTGAGACAGGAGGATCAAACACTCAAGGTTAATCCAGGCTCTATAATAAGGCTTTATCTTAGGAAACTTTAGCAAACAAATCATTGCATCTCCTCAGTGCACTCTAATCAAAGAACCTCCTTCTCCACAATGATACCCTGGGAACCACCTTTTATTTAAAAGTGGAATTCCGGGCCAAAGCAGAATACACAAGCTTAGTGAGAGGAGAAGAGCAGTTCTCTGTGCTCCCGCTACCAAGGACCACTTCGGCACGCATAAGCATTCTGGGCTGGAGCAGGGATGAGTAACCAGAGCAGCCAGGGTGAGTATGCGCCAAGCAGGACCTGGGACTCCTGAGGTGTGCACGGGATGCAGGCCAGGAACTTAGGGAACTCACGAGTCCCAAGAGAAGGCCAAGCATTGAGGACACACGTACCTCTTCCGGAAGAGCTCTCCAAGGGGCATAGTTCAAAGACAGAGAGGTGGAGGGTTGGAGGATTTGAGCTTAGAGCTCCTAAGGGTCACAGACAATCTCCTTCGTTCTATCGAATATTCTCCCTCTACCACCCCCCCATACAGATCCCAGGAACCTGATGGTCTCCCCATCACTTTCGCTGTGTAATGAGCCAGGTGCCCAGGGGAGTGATTCTCAAGTGACACGTCTTAGGCAGACCCTGTCCAACCGTGGGTCTGAAATCTATACATTATGCCGCTCACACTGCGAGAACTATGAGGCCCACCAGAGTGATAACTACTCCACAAGCTTGAGCAGTTTGGTAAGTTTTGGGGCACCGCCTTTGTCTGTCTAATCATTCATTTCTATCCAGGGTGCACAAGTCCTGAAAATGAGGTACACACGGATGAATAGCAAAGTAAGAGGAAAAAAAATGCAAGAGAGGCAAAATGCTGGCATCAGGGAGCTAGTAGACTCTCAGACTGAGGCCCCGATTACCATTTTCTGTAACCTTTATAGAGAAAGAACAAAGGAGGCAGCAGAGGAATGGGAGGATAGCAACTGTTTGAGCAAGGACAGTCCAACTCAATTCTCACAGGAATGAGACTTGACTAGTTAGCTCTCATGTTCTCTTCTTTGGGGCATATCTCAGCAAAGCATCTAGTGTTGTTCCGGGAACTGGCAATGCTTTTGCTAGACTTCCTCCAGAACCCAACAATCATGGCTTGGTCAGGCCTGAGGCAATACATTGAAAGAGCAAAGAATGTCCTTCTCCACACGCCTTGAGAGCCCACCCCGTCCCTGGGACGTTTTGAGTTCTGTGCCCAGTACCCTTCACGGCCACACAACGGGCACAGTTGTCTTAGTAAGGGTACAGTCACGGAATTAAGATGACATGTCCCCAGAAAGATGGAGCCGGGCGTGGGGGTGTTCTGGGGTCTAACTGCCCGCCCATCTTTCCTTAATTGTCTGCTCTTAACTACTGAGAACGGGAACTGTGGTTGGAGTGGGGAGTGAACCTGCCCTTATGGACACGGTACAGTGAGGAATGCAGTGGGCCTTTAGGGGAAAAAAGATGAGTCGTGTTTCCAAGAGCACTAGAGGAATGCCCACTTCTGGTGGTGGGAAGGTGTCTTAAATGCTGAAGCAGCCAGCCAATGGGGCATGGGGGACGGGGTTGGTCCCCCAGGAAGGAGGGGCAGCATTTGTAGAAGCTGTCAGTGGAGAAAGACTTGGCGTGCGTGGGGAAGAGGGGCCTACGGTGAGAATACACATGATGTGACAAAGGCAGGTGAAAGTGGACAGAAGGTGTTAAAACACAACCCGAGGGCGACAGGGAGCTGACAAAAGTTTTCCCACAAAGGAGGGTCGCAGCTTTGCTCCAGCCAGGGAGGGGAGGACAGTCATAGCCATGCCGTCCCTCCGTTGCCATCTGAGTGCTAATGACCATCTGCTTTCCTGGGCCTGGGTCATGTGTCTCTATTCCAAGGGGCAGCATGTCCTCCAGAAGCTGGGGGTCCCTGATGTGTAACAGCAGAGGTGGGTGCCAGGGAGGACCCATGGTGGGTAAGGGTTCAGGCTCTGGGCAGACACGTGGAGCTCTGCCTATCACCCAAGGTCACATGGCCGCTAGGTAATTTCTCTTCACCCTTTCGTCAGGGTTTATATAGAGCCATTCTCAGGAATTAACTGAGAATTAGTGTAGCATCTGTCGGATACCTGAAACGGAGCATAATTCAACTATTAATTAGTTATGCATGTGACTCTAAAGGGGAAATTGCAAGCTTTAAGATTCTGGGTGCTATAAACATGGATTGAACTACCTCATGGGGCAGTGAGATCTCCATTAACCTGAGGTGCATGCGCAGTGGCATCTCTGCGGGGGTCTCACAGGGTGCTGTTAGACACCAGTCTCAAATCCCTTCCCCTCCAGGGCTTCATGAACCTTGGCCTCACTGAGAACAAGCTGTGCACTGATCTGCTGTCTGAAAGGGTAAGTCATGTTCTGGGCTGTGCTGGGACCCACCCTTCAGGGAGCAGTCCCCCCAGCATGCTCCTCTGCCTGTGGTAGACATGAGTAGAACACAGGAGTTTGGGGAAATGATTGGAAAAATAGATCCTGGGATAGTATAAGTCACTTCCTGCCCTTGCTGAGTGTGTCCAGAGGTGTTCTTCAGTAGGACCCCAGTGTGTGGGCTGCTGAGGGGGCATGGGTTGAGGAGGTTGTTGAATACTTCCCAGTGAGGCATCTGTGCGGTAGTCAATGCCAGGATAGGGGCCTCCACTCATCAGAGAAAAGGCAGAGTGCATCCCACTCCTGACCTGGGCAGCCATAGCAGTGCAGGTTGCACGTTCACACTGGGAGAAGGATGGGTTTGCCTGGTTTGACTTTTCTCATGCTCCGTTTGTCAACAGTTGAGTAGGGAGGACATGGATGAGACTGATAAACTCTGGTCAGAGTATCCCAACTTGAGAGGTCTTCCGTGGTAAGTGACTCCATATCTAGCATCTCCTGGTCCACAGCAAGGGAAGGATTCAATGCACTATACTCTTGGTTGGCTGCCTCCTTGCTCCTTTGGGTAACAACTCCCAGGAAACGAGAGTAAAGCCTCATCAGGCAGCCTGGTCTGGTAGAAATCGCATTGTCCAATAATTCAAGTAGTAATTCAAGGCCTGCGTTCTTGTCCCACCTCTCACTTCTTGTCTTCGTGACCGGAGGAGTTGACATCTTTGTTTTATAGCCATATAAAGGGAAGTTGTGCTGGGTTGCTGAGTCCCTTTCAGGGTGGATGCTGGTCTCTTCGAAAATCCTGAAATGTAAACCCTCAGTGAAGATGGAAACTGGGAACTACAAGGTCTCTCTGGGTTTGTCCACAGCTTGCGGAAGGCAGTGGCCCACTTCCTGAGCAACTACTGCAGAGCTCCTCGCCTCCTGAATTCAGAACATGTGAGTCTTCTGATGGAGGGCTGCATGCCTGGGGGACCCTGTGCCTTGTCCAGGGAAGATAAGGAGAACTAAGGAGACCTTCAGGATGAGGGCAGTGTTAAGGCCAGTGGGACCTAGCTGCAGAGGCCTGTGGCGCCTGTCTTCCCAGGGGGAGGGGCCCGGTGTGGCCACACCCTCTTGCGTGGGTACTGGGTTTTGACATCTGACTCTTGTGCGTTCCTTCAGGTGGTTGTTCTCAATGGCTGCTCTGCTGTCTTCTCTGCGCTGGCCATGGTTCTCTGTGACCCAGGGGGTAAGCAAGAACACCTGGGCACTGGGCGTTTGGGAAGGCACCTCCAGTGAAGGTCTTTCCCCACGACACTGGCATTTCTCCGCTGATTAGGACTTCTTCATATTACTGAGAAGGGGTTTGGATTCCTCACTTCATATGGGAGAGACACACATGACCGTTCCTTTCTTCTCCTGGAAAAGTTTACTTTTTCAAAAGAAGAGAATTGAAAAGAAAAAGAATAGCAAAATGCCAACAACATAGACAAAAACAAACAAAGCAAAAACAGTAAGAACGATACAAGGTTTCAGACCAAAATGATAAGGACGAACAGTGGTTGTTACATTGCATATTTTTATCCTGATCAATGTTGTTCTGAGTAGCAAATGTAAGAATCCCAGATTAATCAAACCACTAAAGAATAAAAGGAAAAAGAAAGTATAAATAATAGAGTTTCACCAAATAAGATGATAGGAATTAACAATGGTTGTCCTGTTGCACATTGTTGTCTTCCAATTAGATGTTCAGATTACGAGATAGAAGTGCGCAAAATTGACATACAGTGTTGACAGGGGAAGCAAAATCATTCTGTCACTGGCTGGGCGCTTGGGTTTGCCTGCAGTGTGGATGTCCCTGGCAACCGGCTTAGATTTGACAGATTTCCTACCATCTCCCTAATCCTCACAAGGCTGATTAGTTCTGGATCAGATAAGGTTGAAAGATCTGTTCACAATCTCTTTAACAATGTCTGAGCAAAAGTCTCAGATCTTGGTGAGCTCCGATTGTATGGAAGGCAGTGGCCAAGGTAGAAAGGGTGGGTTCTTGGTTGGCCGAGTTCTTGACCTTGGTTCTTGGGGCCAGATGGGCAGAAAGAAAAAAAAAAAAACATGAGGTCACCAGGTCCAAAAGACAGGTGCCCTCTAAAGGAACCTGGACCTCTAGTGTTTGACCTGAAGCGTGTCAGATTTCCTAAAGACCGGCACTCTGCGTGCTAACTAGCCTACTTGCCACGGGCCCTGGATTCTGACCCATTCATAGTATGTCTTTCCTCTTCTTTCTCAGTACACCCCATAAAAGGAAAGTAGTTTCACTGCCCAAATAATGTCTGCAAGAGTAGACAATTTTTAGTGGAGCCTGAGCTCAAGAACGTCAATCCCCAGAGAGGAGACACTGCTCAAGTGACCTCTTCTCTTGGTAGCTTTGCTGCTAGTCTGGTGGTGGGGAGGCTGGCAGGTTCTGAGAGAAGGTGGAATAACGGCTTCATCTCCCTGTGCTTTCAGATTCCTTCCTGGTCCCCACTCCCTTCTATGAGGGCTTCATCTTTACCTCCAAGATGTACGCGAATAACGAGCTGATTCCAGTCCATGTGGAGAGTGAGGTCAGAATGGGCCCCTTCCCTGCTCAGCCCACCTAGGCAATGGACTGGTCCAGGGGGCACTGAGGAGGCACAGGGGGCCCCCTCTCTCCTTACATATATGGTGACGGAAGAAAGGTAGAGCAACCAGGGTGAAGAAGCCATGCGGGTCTAGCACCCGGATGTGAGGGCCAAGCATTGCCCAGGGTGTGTGGGAGTGAGGGTCAGGGTCAGAAGCTTTTCCCAGGGGCGGCTCTCAGTAGCGTCTCTCCTCCAGACCACTGATATGGACATCCAGCCTTTCCAGCTCACCCTGGCCAAAGTAGAGCAAGCCCTGCTGGAAGCGAAGAGTGAGGTAAGGAAGGAATCCTATTTCCAGGGGGGCCCCGAGAGTGGCTGAGCGCTGAGACTCTGATGGACCTGCTCACCCCAACTTAATGGGCGGTCGTTAGTCAGAAGAGGCAGTGAGTGACCTGCCGGGACGGGGCTCCACAGGAGCGAGGCTCCTGGCTTTGGCAGCTTCCAGAGCGCCTTCCTGCCCCTCCCCCGGGCAGTATGGTAGTGGCTTGCTTTGCCTCATTTGGTGTCCTGTATTGGAGTCTGACCTCTGAAAGATCTTTGGTTGAACTTGCGGTAGATGTAAAAGGCCTTGTGTTCACTCCCGTTTTTGGCTTCTTCTTAGAATAAAAGGGTCAAAGGCCTCTTGCTAACCAACCCTCAGAAGCTTATGGGCTACGTCTACTCAGAGGAATTACTGAGAGAATACCTGGAGTTTGCCAAAAGGTACAAGCTCTATCTCTTCAGACTGGATGACATCCCCAGTAGGGCTTCCCTTCGCTTGTAGTCAAGAAATCAGAAGCACAGGTGATTGCCCCTCAATACTCTCAGTGTGCTCTGCTCTGTGGAGTTGTTCACACCTAAGTGAAACTGACCTGAAGAAGCACCCCCGGGCACACCATTTCTGACTTTTGCCAATCTTTTCCTTGTCTCTTCCCTGTACAGACACTGACACAGCAGTCATAACAGTCTTGTCACTTAAGCACTTCCCCAGCATCCATTTCCCAAACTACTTGGGCCAAGGAGCCCGATAAGACAGACACTCACCTTGTGGAAGGAAGAATTGTGCCAGCAAAGCTCTCACAGGAACCTAGGAGCACCTTAACACTGCTTCTCTCCAGAGTGCTAAACTAGCCCTAGTAGGGCAGATCATCTGTTCTCTAGAGGAAGGAGACTTATTCAAACCTTAGGAGAAACCCAGACCAATTAATGGCAGAGAATAGGGACTGGAGAGTGTTCGAGGTTGGGGGAAAGAATTCAACACAAGTGAGTTGAAACACCAGCACTCACAACTGCAATTTAAGGAAGTTAGCTTTATACCTCGGAGCATTATTGTCCTTTTTGTTTGTGAAAGGCGGGTGAACGTAAGGCTGCAGAGGGTTGGAGGGAGAGTACATGAGATGACCCACGTACCGTGTAGCCGACTTAGTGCCACCACTTGCTTCAGACTCTAGGTAGGAGCTTCTAGCTATACAAGATGAACATGGTCTAGACAACATGGCCCTTGCCCCTGGCCTCTGCTTGGTGCTGGAAAGTGTAGAAATGTACTCAAGTGTGTCTTGGGGTCCTTCCTACTCCATCTCAGTATGGTCAGCCTGGGTGCAAGGTCCCTTCTGATATATGGCCTCCTCCTACCTTACCCCTTGGAAGGGCTGGGTGGGCTGCTGGGCAATAGGGGAATCTGCTCTCTCTCCAGAGATGAATAGGAATGAAAATGAGTTAAAATTGCAGGGGGTAACCAGAACTTGTTCTCCTTTCACACAACTACAGAAATGAAATGCACGTGGTCATAGATGAAACGTACATGTTGTCTATGTTTGACGACTCCGTCAAGTTCCACAGTGTTTTGAGCTTGGAAAGGTGAGTTTGTTCCAGCTGGGGTTGGGACTCAGCACCATGAGGGCGCAGAGTTCATGGGCCTGCACCCTCACTGGTTATGTGTTAGGGAGGGAGGTCAGTGCGGGCTGGGCTTCTGAAGGTAAGTGTCCTCCAGGCT